GTAGAAAACAATGCTTGTTTTTTTTTTTTTTTTTTTTTAGTGTTCAGACATAGACAATGGATAGTACATGTTTGGATTCATTTGCGAACTAGCAGCTCCCATGTCCCGAAAGCTAATCAATGAAAGGCTCGGGGGCCACATCTGGCCCGCCCACAGTGACTGACCGGCCCACACCATGAAGTCAAAAAATAAATGTAAAATATGCGGCGCTTTTATTTTTAAAAGTTTGCATTTGCACACGTGTTGATGGTAGTACAAGAAAGGTAGCCATGTCTACATTTATAGCAACCTATTGAAACAAAACAATCCACTTTTTTTCTAGATTAATGTGTTACAATGACTCGTTTGACCAGTTTATCTTTTCGAAACAACTTTAAGCAACTGTTTGAAAACAATGCTTGAGTTTTATTTTTTTTTTTTAATGTTCAGACATAGACAATGGATGGGACATGTTTGGATTCATTCGTGAACTAGCAGCTCCCACGTCCCGAAAGCTTTTCAAAGAAAGGCTCGGGGGCCACATCTGGCCCGCCCACAGTGACTGACCAGCCCACACCATGAAGTCAAAAATTAAATGTAAAATATGCGGCACTTTTATTTCTAAAAGTGTGCATTTGCACACGTGTTGATGGTAGTACAAGGAAGGTAGCCATGTTTACATTTATAGCAATCTATTGAAACAAAAAATACACTTTTTTTCTAAATACATGAAAAAATAATGTAGACAAAGCTGCATGTTGGCTTGGCCCTTGGCAAGCGTTCCATTTTTCCATGCGACCCCGTTGCAAAATTAATTGCCATCACTTCTTTACGGGAACTTGTGGCTCTTTTGTACACAGTACATGAAAATAATAAGATAACATATGACCGTGCTGTATGCATTTTTTTGTTGTTGATATTGTGGTGCGATCGTGTGGTCCATTTCTCAAGTATGAGCGTTGTCATATTTCAGAGTGGTGAAAGTGCAGAAGACAAAGATGGACCAATGACTTCAACTTCAAGAAGACTGAAGATGTTACATGATTTGGTTCAAGCCAAAAAAGGACATCAGAGTGCTTCTGGGAAAGGAACGAACCGGCCTAGTAATAGGAGTGAGTATCATGGTAAAATTTGCTTGCAGGTGCAGTATTATACTGTGATGTCGTTATTTTGCTGCCACTTTTATCAAGAAATCAAAGGAAATAAAGGAACCCCTTGATCTCTTCAGTTTTCATTGAGGCATGTTGATTGCAATTTTAAATTGGAAAATTAACCGTCGCAAACATAGGCAAGAAGATTTGAGTACAGCTGACGGTTTGGTATTGTTCAGTGAAAAGGAGCATATGGCACCAATGGACCCTAGTGACATAAATTTTTTGCTTGTCATCTGTTTTTAAACAAAAAGTCCCTTGCTAACTGGCAAACTTAGTATTGACTTTACCGAGTGATGTATTTTGATATAGTCATTTAGTAAAAGAACAAAAATCACAGGTCTGTAACATTTGCACAGCATAGTATGTTCCTAATCTTTGGTGTTATACAAACAAAATCTGTACTCATTGCCAGATAATTCATCGGACATGTTAAGTAACAACAACTCAGTGTTCACCTGCATCGGTCTGGGCAAAAGAACGGAAAAGTCTTCCCAAAGCGATCAGCAGCAGCAACAAGAAGTAAAAAACCTCCACGTGGATTTAAAGACAGAAGTTGTTCAGAACACCATTGACTGTTCTCAGCCTCGTTTGCCCTTTTATCACACTTGCCACCAACCTGGACATAAGATGGGGGTCTGCGAAGGCAACTTGGTGCTTCCTCAGGCAACCGAATGGGATCGCTTTGAGAGTCTCATTCAGGAACTGGACAGAAAAGAATCTGATCTTCCTCCAACCACGTTTGCAGCATCCACCAAAGATATCCAATCCACAGAAGACCAAGTAAGATTTCAGGCTATTCTGTGTCAATTATATTGGATTCCGCTTGACTGGCATTACACCCCCGGAATATAACCAGAAATATAAGCAATAGTTAAAATGCACATACGGTACAGTATATGCTGCAGGCAAAATAAACTCTCCTCCAATGTGACTAGTACAGGCTATAAACAGGCTATGAGGATGTTTATCAGTAATATATTAGGATAACAATACCGGATGATAACTAGTATACACTGCAGTTTACTGGTGACCGGTCCAAGTCACCTGGGACCAAATGCCGTCATGTCTTCCGTTACTCCACTACATCAAGCTTCTTTTAGGTTTTCCCTCGCGACATCCTCATGAATCTTCTACCAATTCATTCACTATCTTTCCACTAAATGTGTCAGAACAATCTCAGTTTGGTCTGTCCAGCGATTTCTCCAAAATGAAATCTAATCTTGGGCTGTCCCTCTGACGAGCCAATTTCTAATCCTATCTGACTTGGTCACTCCAAAAGAGAACCTCGACATTTTCATCTCCACCCTCTGCAGCTATGCCTCCTGTCGTCTCTTCAGCGCAGCCGTCGTACATCACGGCTGACCCCATGACTGTCTTATAAATGTTTGCCTTCTATCCTCCACCTCCCCCCTGCTTGAATCTGTTTCTTCCTCCTTGGCACAAACCCGAATGATCTGTACTGTTGATCATTACTCTTCAAAGTCCTCCACCCGTGCTATCTTTTCTCCCTGTAGCCTGCACTTCCCCATCCGCCCCTGCTCATCTTCATTCCTCTCCTTCGCAGTGCATGCCTCCAACTTTCGAACTGTACCTCGACCTGCTCTCTGCTTTGATCATTACTCTTCAAAGTCCTCCACCCGTGCTATATCTTCTCCCTGTAGCCTGCACTTCCCCATCCGCCCCTCTCATTCAAACACATATATTCTTCCTTACTTCTGTTTATCTTCATTCCTCTCCTACGCAGTGCATGCCTTCAACTTTCGAACTGTTGCTTCACCTCCTCTCTGCTCTCAATTCAGAACACAATGTCATCTGCGAACATCAAAGTCCATGGGGATTCCGGTCTATAATCCAACCTATCCCCGTCAGCCTGTCCATGACCGTTGCCAACAGGAAGATGTTCAGAGCTGCTCGATTCCCATATCCACCTAAAAGCCCCTCTGTCCCACCACAACCACACCTCATCTCACACACCACCAGCCTATGCTGTCTGGCTAAATTCTCACCTACCACAACCTTATAGTCACTCATCTCAGTCAAATCATCTGTAAAGGATGGAGTCTACAGATGTGCTTCTACCTTCGCTCTTGTAGGGCACCTTCTGGAAGTTGAGTGTCCTACAGCCCTTTCCATCCTTTTGGCAAAGTCGAGAACCATCTGTCTCTCTATCTTGAATACAAAACCTGCCCATCAATTCTTCATCAGCCCCCGTTGCCATTGCCAACCTCTCTGCGAGGGATGCTCTGAACTACTTTGGCTCGCCCTTCTTCTTGGTCACATGCAACCTGTGGTGTGAAACAATGAATAAACATAACACCTTCAAGTTCAAGCTTTAGCCTCGTCACTTGATCTGAGAGTCTTTTGCCTTCGTATGTACACCAGGGTAAAATAATTTGAACTGAGCTCCAAATCTTTTAGCTTTACTGCTTTTCCACCTGCTCGCTTGGACACTCAATCTATTGGTGTATAAAGTACACATTTTTCCAAATGATCAATTCAAGCAATTATCTAGCTTCTCCTGTCATCATCCCAACATATCATTTGAGTCCTTGCTTTCAGTTTTAGGCTCTGTGCTTTCCCCTTCTCATTCTACCGAAGGCTATGCTCCTTTCTTCTCATTCATTTTTGACCTCTTATCCGCGGAATTTTCACAGGCGCCCTGTCGTTTATCTGCAGCAATGGCCATAATTGCTGTTTACCAGAGCGCAACTGATGTACGAAATGAAATGATGAGCACTCAATAATTGTTTTGCTAAATTTTACGCCAGATGTCCAGCCTGACGCAACCCTCAGCTTGGAATCAGCCTCTGATCTTATACCCACATAGGGCTGTATTCCACATTTTGTAACAAATCACATTTTCATCAATGTTGTATGGTGTATACATTTTTGCATATTTTTTGCGGGGGGTCAAAAATCGGAAGGCACAATAAATTAACTGATCACTTCAGGAACCTAATTTGGTCCCCATTTGTTGGTGATACTAACCGCCATAGTTTGGCCCTGAAGGGTTTGATTATGTGGTTCATTTGGTATGGCACGAGCTTATTTGAAGCCTGGGGGTGCAGCCCAGAAACTGTTTGCTTGAAGAGTACAATGACGTGTACTGTTTATATGAGACAATGAGGTGTCAGGTCACTCATAGTCAGCATTAGCAAATGAGCCAAAGGCCAAGAGAAACAGATGATCACTAAGCCGTAGTAAAAGACCATTGAACTGAAATGAATGGTCTGTCAGTAGGCAGAGGCCAGAGCTTTATGAAATGCTTGTATAAATTGTACTTGATGAATTTAAAGTCCGAATGCGGTGTGATTTGCGAAAAGAGAAACACATTAGTAATCATCGGCGCTATCATCAATACTAGTACAGTCTGTTTGAGCTAAAGTAATCCTCCTAATCTAAGAACTGTATGGCTTTTGGAGACTGACCTAGTTTTGGAACAGAAAAAAAACAAACACTAACTGTTTATGGTGTAGCTTCACTAAGAGAATACATCTTTTAGGCAGCTGTTGCCCATCTGTCATCATATCACATACCATTTAATCTCTCATTTACCCTACAGTTGACCATATTTGGAAAATTGGCCACGCCCACGGAGCCGCCGCCCTTTATGAAAACACAACACAACGCAAGCCCTTTGGTAAAAGTTTACCAATCTTGACACTGTGCATTGTGACGAGCTCTCCTTTACCATGTGCTTTGTGTTTAATGTTGCCACAGAGTGGGTCCAAACTAAGCCAGAGGCAGACTGCGGACTCACCACGGCCTGACATGCGGCCCATTGAAACCACAGCAGAGAAAAAAATTACAACTGCCATCGTAAGTCCACCACACTTGCTGTGTTGGAGGACATTGTCGAGCTTGTGTAATCATCTATATGTTGTCAATTTTCATAAATGTTTTTGGTCCACATTCAATGTGACGGAGTATAAGTGCCACTCTGATTAAAAATAATACCACAACAATAAATGGATAGAATTCAAATAAAGTCAAAATTAGGAAAAAAAAAATAGGTTGACATTTTCCATAAAACAATGCAGGTGACATACATTTCCCAAGTACCGTATTTTCCGCACTATAAGGCGCTCCGGAGTATAAGGCGCACTTTCAAGGAATAGCCTATTTTAAAACTATATAAAACTAAATATAGGGTGCACTGCATGATAAGGCGCATGCAATAGAAGCTGCGATAGTGGCTGTGGTTGCGTTATGCATCAACTAGATGGAGCTGTGCTAAAGGGAATACAATACAATACAAGACAGCTTGATTAATATCGGGCCTTCACAACCGCTGCAGCTGGAACAAAGCGCTTTAGAACATTTAAAATACTACGTCCAATGAATCAGAATATTGATCTTTAAGTAACTCCCTCAGGATGTAGCATGAAGCATGACATGAAGTCCATAAAAATACAGGATTTATTCCTTGACATAAATCAACATGCTCCGTTTCATAATGTCTGCACAAAGCTCAGAAAGTTGTTGTCTGATTGAGTGCGTGTTGGCGAACGCACATGTCAATTAGTGTCGGGCAGAACCCTTTTACATTACAATTGGTTCCTGCTAATAATCACCACTAGATGGCATAGTAACACTAACAGGGAAACAACTCAATGGGGAATATAAAGAGACAGGAACAGCATATATAAGGCGCATCGAATTATAAAGCGCACTGTCGGCTTTTGAAAAAAATCGAATGCTTTTAGGTGCACCTTATAGTGTGAAAAATACAGGAAAAATAATAGCTCCCGAGTGCACACCTCTGAGGTCTCAGCGATATAAAACAAGTCAACTCTTGCAGAGATTGAGTGCTCCCTATGAGAATTCTAATACAGTAGCTTTGTGTAATGACTCAGCTATATGACAGGCTCATTTTATCTTGACGCCACCAGTGGAGAAACACAAAACAAATACTTGAGAAGACATAATAAAAATTGTGTTTCCATTCATTGCAGTGTGTTGACACCCAAAAACCAGAAGCTAAGAAGAGGGAGTCTGGTGTCATGAGGATACTGACCGAAGGACGCAAGCTCTCCAGTAATTCAATGGAAAGCCTCTATAGCAGACAAAGTTCCTCAAGTAAGAACCCTAATCATAACCCAATCAAAAAAATTGACATGAAAAAAGTGTGTGTGGGGGGAGTAAATGAGATAATCGTCTGTTTTCTACACGGTTGGGGTCAGTGGTGAGCTGCAGCCTATTTCAGCTATTTTGAGTGGCGGGGCACATTGACATTCCTTTGTTCAACGTATTCATTTTAAAACAATATCTTGTTATTTGTTAAATTTTTATTCAGAAAATTCCACCAGCAGATGTTGATCTGGTACATTTAAATTTTGTGGAAGCAATTATGTAACTATATGGGAACTATGGAAAATGTATTTAAATGACGAGCACACTGTATTATAGACTATGTAAATATACAGTCAATCAGAATGAATTAATGATCCAAAAACAGCCCAAACTCCAAATAACATGGAAAAAAAATCGAATCCACATGGTGAATCCAATGTAAACAAAACACAGATTGTCACATCGAGAATAAAATTGGGGTCCTAATTTGTAACTTTAACCCTTTCATGCACAAATAATGATAACCTGTAACCTGATAAGATGTCCACTGTCGTAACAGTTGTCCTTGAAAGGGTTAACATAATAAATTTAAAAAAATTAAATAAATAAAGCCTAATTCCGACCTTAATTTTTATTTCATTTCCATCGACTTTATTCTCAGACTAGTATATATCTTTTTTTATTCGAACCCCATTAAAAATACTTATAACATTTGTTAGAACTATTCATGATGTCCAATTTGGAGTGGAGTAAAAAACAAACAAACAAAAAAAAAACGCTCTAATAATTCCATTGTTTTGTCTTGGGTTTTGCCAGGTGGAGTTACCAGTGACTGTTCCAGTAACAGAGACAGTCTGAGGCTGGAGGATGAATCCTTTTGCCCAAGACTCTTCTGTGGTCGAGCGCGAGTACATACAGAGTTCATGCCAAGTCCATATGACACAGAATCCCTCAAACTCAAGGTATTCAATTCTGGGAAACTGCGATACATTTACCGATATAAAGAAATATCCGACAATTGTGCTTTAATGAAACCAGCAGAACTTGTGTGCAATAATATTGTCAGATTCTGGCCAAACCGAATAATGTTTTAGGATTCCAAAAATGCAGGCTCAGACAAAGTCCGATTGCAAAAAATATTTACCGGTATTTAAGAAAATCGCACAGCCAGGCTTGATGGGGAAACATGGCACAGGTGCACGTGCTGAAGGGAAATAAATGTCACTCCAGCTGCAGCTTGAACACAATCAAGACAGAACATGGCAAACATTGTGAAATGTGTCAAACCTCCTCGCGGGCCGGAACCGCCCCCGAGGGGGTTTGATCAGGCCCGCAGGATAATTTAAATGTGAAAAAAAATGCACAGAAGACACGGATTTAATATTTTTAATAAAATTCAATTCATGGATTATCCGATAGGGGGCACACTGTTTTCTCCTTAATTTGTAAAGTGTAGGCAGGGATTAAATTTAGATTTTTTCTGCACATATATAAATGGTTTAAACAAATCCTTTCTTTATAAATCTCGTTTAATCTTAAAATGCATGACTATATTTTTCAAAAGTTTTACGCCGGATGCCATTCCTGACGCAACCCTCCCCATTTCTCCGGGCTTGGGACCGGCACTGGGGAACAGTGCACCCCCAGGGGAGGGCACTGCCCCCCAGCGGCTGGGTTAAAGTGTAGGCAGGGATTAAATTTAGATTTTTTTCTGCACACAGTATGGTATCATTTTAATCGTCCGGCCCACTTGACGGTTAACGAGGCCGTATGCGGCCCACAGTGTGTGTTCTGGAATCCTCACGAGATTTTTCTGCACATATATAAATGGTTTAAACAAATCCTTTCTTTATAAATCTCGTTTAATCTTAAAATGCATGACTATATTTTTCCATACCAATTACTTGTTAAAGTTTTGCGCCTTTGTACAATCAGTGGGACTACTTCACTATACCAAAACAGAGGAAAGACATATTTTGGTTATTGATAGCAGAGTATGGTGTCATTTTAATCGTCCGGCCCACTTGACCTTTAATGAGGCCGTATGCGGCCCACAGTGTGTGTTCTGGAATCCTCATGAGGCGAGGTTATGATGTCACTCGTGATCACACAACAAAATGTCTTATTCAGGTCGGCGACGTGATTGACATCATCCACAAGCGCCCGATGGGAATATGGACTGGGATGTTGAACAACAAAATCGGCAACTTTAAATTCATCTATGTGGATGAGTTAACAGAGGCGGCTCCCGAGACACACGAGGAAGGCCGCTCCTGAGACACACGAGGAAGTGCAAAACCACAGAGCGCCCCAAAAATGCACCTCGACTATCCACGAAGTGTTGAGGCGTCTCAGTTTAGAGGTGTTCTTTACAATACACAAAACATCAGCATTTTTTGTCACAGTATTTTTTTTTGATGACCAGAGCTTCTTCAATTGCATTACCAGGAATATTCAAGCTCTCTGCAGCAGAACGGTTACCAAACAGTAGATGACTTGATGAGGCTGAGGGAGCATCACCTGACAAAACTACAAGTGACGGATCCGGAGCACAGGCGTCGTCTGCTCGCTGCGGTCGAGTCCTTGCAAGAACTGAGCTGTGAGTTTTGGGGAAACTCATTTAAGGTCAGGCGTGGAACTGCATACATTTCGTGTCTTCATGATTTGATATAGAAAGATGAATCCAAATGTGAAAAGGACAAAAGGAATAGGATCCTGCCTGAATGGGTTGTCACTTATATATCAACTACTCTACCACTGAGCCATCATGCCCCGCATCTTTGCACTCACATTCACACCAAAGCGGATCACCAGGAGCTTGGTTTTGAACCCACGATCTCTGCGTCAGATGTGCTAACCGGTTATGCACCGTTAGCACCAATTCAACATTTATAAAACTGAATGACAAATGAATCAATTGGCGGGGTATTGGGTATGGCAGCCCCCAAGGTCTCGGTACTCGCCCATCTGTATTAATGAGGACAGAGTGTCTAAAAAGGACAGAAAGACAGACAAGCTACATGACATCTTAACAGAAGCTGAAAAAAAAAAGACTCTCATCCATGCAACTTTGTGATAATATGCAACGTGTGCCATTCTCTTCATCACAGCTACTTGTGACTTGGAGAAGGAGCCCAAGCAAGAGGTCGGGACCCCTACCGAAAACATGAAAAGAGACATGAGAGACTCAGGCTGCCACATGCCATCTGACAGCACCGACATCAGTGGAGAGGACGCAGACCTTCATTTTCCTTGAAATGATATGCTGCTTTTTTGGCATGGAGTGGCCCAAATCAAATGTTTATATTGACTTGGATGAACCTCATTTTAAACACCGACATGCTCACGTTGAGCTTTGACTTTTAGCCTCAACAAATGTAAGATTTATATTTACAGAAATAAAATATTTATGTCCTGTATGTGGAAATGGTGTGTGTGTGTGTGTGTGTGTGTGTGTGTGTGTGTGTGTTTATATATACATGAATTAAAAGTACAGTCAAAGATATTGAATCCACTTGCATCTCATGAATAAAGTCATTTTTTGGTTTGATGGTTTGGGAAAGTGCAGTGTTATATATGTACATTGAAGCTATTATATTTTTGCCTCATGTCTGTTATAAATTATACTATACACCTTTATTGAGAGTCTTTACGCTAAAACCAGTCTTCATGTTAGTTGTATTTAAATAGTTTTTTTTTAACTACCATTACCGTAATGGCTTAAAAAGTAAAGTCTGCACACCTTCCATATAATCATTTTTATTAATGAGTCTGTAGCCTAATGTGGCATAAGAGGTGAAAATGCAATCTTTCATTCTTATCATAAGAATGAGAAAAAATCCTTCATATTTGATTCATTTATCAATTTCAAGGCATCCACGTGAAAGATGTCACTACTCAATGTCTCCAAAACATCGCGATATGGCAAAAAAGAGGCAGCAGTATCAATACTGACACTTTAGAGACTCTCAAAGCCCTGCATTGTTTACCTTCAATATTTCGTATATTTCTTAATAGCCCGATCACAAGCACAATGGATGACAACAAAATCCTCCCACTAAAAAAATTCCTTTCACAAGGGAAACAATTTCAAAATGAGTCCTATTTACATCAACATATCATACACAACGACAAAGTCAACTTCCTATGCAGAAGATAATGAAAATGACCATCCATTCAGCCTTAAATATGCTTCTTTTTTTTTTAAGCCATTAAACACAATAGTTTTGCTCGCATGTACGTACACTGTCAACTTGGAAAAAAAAATCATTCCAAGAGGTTGCGTGCAATCTACTGGATGCATATTAGAGCCTTCATGTACTATAGGCCGTGTACAGTATTAGAAACCAGTTGTAGAAAAAAAAAAGTACTGTATCTAACATTCCATTTGTTCCGTGGGAAATGATGTTCTCGGGTCTCCGAGAGAGTATCTCGCATTGCCATTTTCGGGATTCAGCGACAACTCCTCAGTACTTCTTAGCCCATTGTGGAGTTCTGAAAGACAAGTATTAAAGCATAACATGAAACAACTGGACTACAGGAATGCAGGTAAAGTGTTACAATTTCACACATTAATCCTTTGATGCACCTTGTAACTGTATGACATGATAAGCTGTCCACTGTAGTAACCGCTGTCCCTGAAAGGCTTCATCAAGAAACCCTTTTCTGTTTTTAAATTTTACAGGTGAAGATTTATTGATTACAAGACTATATGAGGAATCAAAACGATCATTTTGGTTAAAGAGCTTCCGCTGGTAGAAACCATGATGCCAATAAAACATAGTCACTGGATAGCTATACTTATATATAAGCCATATTTCGACCAGTCAGGCCATAATTGTGAATGTAAACATCAAGGTCAATATTTAAGACTGAAATCCGTCAATACGTACATGACAAGACATGCCTGAATGACTTTCTGGTAAATTATTCTCAGTTTCTGTAAAATGCTATCATTTCCATGAACATTTTTTGATTGGCAATATTTTTGGTGTCTCGCGCTACCCTGACACAAACATTTTTTTTTTTCAAAAGGCCTTCTCTATTAAAAAAAAAAAAAGATTCTCAGAGGCTGAGTCACTATTCCGAGGAAATTGTTGTATCACTTAAAAACGTTATTTCCAGTTGCGAATGTGGTTGAAAGTGTCACCTGAAACAATGAGCTTCTCCTTCATGACGTTGACATCCCGATTAGAGCGATGCGGCACAGCGCTCAGCATGATCTGCTCGGGGTTACAACTCTGTATTCCGCTCATCCTCCACCTGTTCCGTGTTGAAATAACACATATTACAAGCGCGTCGCGGCCGTTAGCCGAGCTGTGACATTCCACGGAATCACGTGGCATTGTGTAAACCCGCCTAGAAATGTGCTGATGCGCGCACAATTTTGTTGTACAGGAAGGTAGAGTATATGCATAAACAGGAGGTCAAACTGTTTAGCAAAAGACAGAAAAAGAAATGGGCCCTGGGCTGTCGGGCAGAAAAAGCACACGGAAGGACAAACAAGGAGAAAAGAAACAAAGGCCAAGGCAGACGCAGTGGTTACCTGATCATATGATAGCTGACAGATGCCAGGGGGCAGCGGAGGAAGGTTGCATGCAGATCAGACACAGCACCAGACAAAATAAGGACATCAGAGGAGAAAGACAGACAGAAAGAGGACAGGGGGGAACGTTAGAGCGTAGAGGTGAAACATGAAAACATGGAGGATCCGGATAAAAGAAAGAAAGACAGCAGTGCGAATGAACAGTCAGTTTTGAAGCAGTGTCTCCTCAAGTGAAATAAAGGTCAGTGGAGTAAGAAACAATGTAGGAAGTTACACTAGACCAGTGGTTCTTAAACTTGTTTGAGGTATCGAACCCAACTGATTCATATGCACATTCACTGAACCCTTCATTAGTGAAAAACAAAAATATGACTTTTAACAAATTCAAGATATAAAAAAACACATTTATTAAAAACAGAAAAAAAGTACTGTATTGGCCCGAATATAAGACGGTGTTTTTTGCATTAATAGCGGTAAGATGGAAAAGAGAAGAAAATAACAGAAGAGATAACAGAAAATGGAGAAACGTAGTGACAATCTGGAGAAAAGTGGGTCGAAGATCGCCCAGGTTAACCGGCAGCTGAGGAGAAGTTATGATGTCATTTACATTTCAAAAACCAGAAGCCATTCATTTACGAATGTGATTGCACTTTAGTTTACATATTTAAATGTTCAAATATTAAGATTTGAATGAGGCAAAATAACATTTTTTTTCCTCTCAAATATATTGTTATAATCATTTGTTTCAGATGTACTGTAATTATTTTCTGTATAAACATTAATTTGGTGTTCAAAAAGTATTTTTTCAAACTTGAGTCTTGAAAAAGAGGGGGTCGTCTTATAATCAGGGCCGTCTTATATTCGGGCCAATACGGTAAATAACATTTCAACACATAAGGATACGTTTTTTTATTTTTTATTTTAGGACGTACTATCACAACAGTCACACGTTGACGATTGAGCGAACTAAATTTACCGCAGCACTGATTGGACAAGCAATGTCATGTGATCAACTGCAGCCAGTGATGGCCAAGCGGACGTGTCATAACTAAGTGACATGTTGAGTCGTTGAGTTGATGTGTCTTAACCTCCATGACAGAGGCTCCTTCGAACCCCTGAGACCGATTCACCGAACCTGTAGGGTTTGATCGAACCCAGGTTAAGAACCACTGCACTAGATTGAAAAAAAAAAATGAAAGTGAAGTCAGGCATTCCTTTTCAAAGTCAAGGCCGTTTGTATTAATAATGCTTTTCCATAATATATCTTTCCAGAATAAAATAGTCACTTCTATCCATAGTCATTTGATGCAGATGAAGGTGAGGTCAAAATAAATTTACATTTAAAAAAAAAAAACCAAAACATCTTGGCCTTCACCACATCACATCTTTTTTTTCGATATACTGTATTGTTTAACCCTTTCATGCACCGTGTAACCTGAACATGATAAGCTGTCCACTGTAGTCACCGCTGTCCCTGAAAGGCTTAATATTGATTTGTGTTTCTATTCAGCAACAAACTAACCTCCACTCCATCAAAATTTACAGTACTGCGCGAATGCATTAGGCCAGGGGTCCCCCAACCGCCGGTCCGCCGGGCATTTGGTACCGGGCCGCACAGAAAGAACTTGCCTTAATTCCGGTTTATTTATTTCGGAATCCGAAAGA